GCCGCCGCAATCGCCACCCTGCAAACCTCCACCACCTGGACCCGATGCATGAACACCTTCAAGACCCTAACGCTCCCCTTCAGCCCGATCCTCGTCTCCACCTCCACGACGTTCCCATCGCCACTCCTATCGAACTTTCCAACGGCGAAGCTCGCCTCCATGTACTGCGTCCTGTCGCCGGCGATCTCTCCGGCGGGGATGTACATGAACCCGACCCTGCTGCCCGTGAGGAGGGATGGTGGCCAGTGAGACAGGATCGCGTTAGGGTTCTGACGGAGGCGGAGAGGTGAAGTGAAGCTGCGGTGGAGTTGGAGGCGGCGATCCGGCGAGGCGACGCGGTGACCGACGGAGGGGTCGCGGGGGCGGAAGAGGAGGAAGACGAACGATGGCGGGGTGAGGACGAATGAAGCGAGAAGACGGCGGGCGAGCGCAGAGGCGAGGTTCGTTTTGCCGGTGGAGCGGTTTTTAATTACGAGGTGGGGGTAGGGGCAGGTGGAGGGGTGCTTGTCCATCGTTGGAAAACCCTAATTTGTTCCCCTTTTGTTGTTTGGGAAAGAGGGGGGAGGGGAGGGGAGTGGGAGATTCTTTGTTTCGATTTTGTTCTGGTAGCAGGGAGTGTGGGCAGAGAGTGATGGAGGGAGGAAAAGGGGGAAAAGGAGGGGGGAGTTGGTGGAAGTGGGGCATCACCGAGTGGGGGAGAGGAGGAAAAAAAGATCATGGCCAACAGAATGCTTACTATTGAGGGGGAGGAAGATGTAGTAAAACTCCTATAAATTTAAGTGGATATGAGCATCTGTCCATCAAATTTTTTATCCATTCATTATTCTTTGGGATTTGTGCTACACATCAATGCTATTTTTGAGATTTGTGGCTTCATTTGTATCACATGCTAGCACAAATCTAAATGCAAAATCAATGGACAAAAAAGTTGGTGTACAAAGAGCTTTATCAGCATTACTTCTTAAGTTTATAGGAGCTTTTACTTCTTAAATATGTTATTATTTCCCAAAAAAACATTAGTATACCCCAAATTTCAAAACGGGTCAGAAAAATACCCTCGGTTATAAGAGGAGTGAGTTTTCTGTCTTTTGTACACCAAAACTGTGAGAATGATCTCAGAATATTCCCATATGCTACCTCATGTGACAAATTTGACAACTACCCTCGATTATTGTATTGAGCACAACTCTACTCATCCATTTCTCCTTAGGGGTTGTTTGGTTCGTTTCCTTGATATAGAGAAATACAATTCAATGTAAAGAAACACAAATTTTGAGTTTTTCAAACTTTTCCAAGAAATAGATTGTTTTGCTTTGGTTTGCACATAAAAAATGGTGGGAAACCAATGTATTTACTTTTCTCGTGTTTGGTTCGCATAGAAAAAAAGGAAAACTTTTGTAAACAAAGCAGAGAAGGAAAAAAATCTGACGTGGCAGAGTTTTCATCAATTTCACTTGGTTGGGGAAGGAAATCGGAGAGGGAAAAAAATCTTAGTTGGCGGCGATTTCAGCAGAGTTTTCCCTCTTCCATTCGAGCAAACCAAAGCGGCACAAAGAAATGGACGGATACAAAAAAGCTGACGTGGAGGGCTAAAAATCTGACGTGGAGGGGTTTTCTGAGTTTTCCACCCCTTATAACAGCGAACCAAACAGCCCCTTATTAAATATCATACCTTCTCTTCTTCATATTCTTCTTCCCCTTCTATTCTCAAATTTTCCACTCTTAAATCAATTTGGACCACCTACTGCAGCTCGCTATATTGGCCCACTCTCATTCATCCACGAGGACTAGGGTCGAGTATGAGAGAGAAAACTAGGGGTGCATTCGGTTCGAATACGGTTCGGATATGATACTTACTATATTCATATCCGCTTTCTAAAAATAGATACGGATATGGATACGGATACTCATCGGTAAGAAAAATTCATGACCATATTCGCACTAAATGGAAACAGATACGGTTCGGATATTAGAATCAGATACGGATACAATCACGGATATCAGTCGGATATTTACAATATGCATCAAAATTATGAACAAACTCAGATTTACAATATGCACTATATAAGGATCATTTTCAAACCTGCAATCAACCTGTTTCCTTCTCTCTGAGCATATATATACGTACATAATAAACTGACATTTTACAATTGTTTAAGCAAATTTAAAAGTTACAGCAAAGAGACATTCATATAGTTGTTCAGAACATATTTAAAAGCAATATTTAAGAACATGTATCTTCTTGCTTTGGACTCAAAGGACTGCCCCAGTGGCTACAGATAATAATATACATAATTTACAAGTCATTACAATTCAAACAGATTCTAACATAAGCAAATAATAGAGTGAGCATCCAATCATGATCTCAACAAAAGGTTGCGGCACCAATACAGGATCTAAATATGAACCATACACCAAAAAAAGATGAAACTAACTGATGCAAGAGAAATATCATATCTCATCATCCGATTCGAACATCTCCACAATGTCACCATGACAAAAATGAAAAGAACAATGGTCATATTAATTGTGTGAATTTTTTTTTATAAATCATGTGCTTAAGAAGTTGAATAACATACCCATGCTTTCTTTTACAAAAGTCTCGGCAATCTCCGAGCCATCGTCATCCGAAATCTTTACCACATCAAGAACATTATCTTTAATAGTTTGCACTTATGTAACTACAAAAAATTATTAGAGAAAAAAATATAAAATCAATTGATGCACAATTAAACAAACATAATAAAATCTATATCAAATTTATATATTTACCTCCTTTCCCCGCTTTAATCCAATCTTGTGCACATACCAATGCCTCCACCATATCCGTTGTCATTTGGCTTTTATAACAATGAATTACACGCCCCCGGTGCTAAAAGCCGATTCAGATGCCACAGTTGATGCCAGTATACCCAAAACATCTCTTGCAACTTTTGCAAGTATATGATACTTTCCAAATTTTCCTTTCCACCAAGCCAATATATCAAATTTCCCCATTGTGTCCTCTTTCCATCGAACAATACTCTTTTCCATATACCAATCCAAATCGATCTTTGTAGGCTCATTCTCAATAGTTTTAACAAATTGTGTGAATCTCGATTTTCTTTTGTCACCAACTTTTTCCACTTCTTCTATTTGAAAGATTGAAGCATTTTCATCATTTTTGGATTGCACTTTTTCACTAGATGCATATTTGCCATGTATCCTTTTAATGACATCTAAAATATCATATGTGGAATTATCACCATTCACAACATAAATCTCATTAAAGTAATATTTGGTGGAAATCATTTTATATCTAGGATCAAGAAAAATAGCCACCACAAAAATTTTGTTACACATGCTCCGATATTTGACAAACTTTCTCTTCATTGCTAAAGTTATAGTCATAATGGTATCATCGTTACTTTTTAACCATTCCATAAGAAGCAATTGAATTTCACAAAATTCATCAAATAAGATATTACAAGTAGAATTCATAGTGCTGTAAAGGAGTTTTGTTGCATTATAAAAGTGTTTCAAACATTTACTCAATGTTTTAATATAGTTTCATTCCTCCTTCGATGAACAATGAATGTATTTTTCATCACTAAGATCAACTCTATTAAAAGCAACTTTATACTTTAAAGCAATCATTAATATTAAATGAGTAGAATTGCACCTTGTACAACAATCAAGGGCAAATCACTTTTCATTTTGCACATTTACTTGGTTTGCAACCTGATAAAATTCTCTTCCATTTTTTGTGAACATTTCACATATTTAACACTAAGCCTTACTTTTTCAATAGCTTTAGTGATTACTTTTAGTCAATCTTGAACAATGAGATTTTATAATATGTACTCCACATCTAACATGAAAAAAGACTCTACCACAAGGTAGGTATTTCTTAAGATGTTCTTTCCCAATTTAACGGCAATATCATTAGCCTTATCATTATCCACCGTAACAAAACTTTATTATCAATTTTCCAATCAAGTAAATGAGTGATTAACAGAGACATGGACTTTAACAAAACCAATTATACATTTTTGAAGTTACCAAGATTCATCAACAAAGTGAGCGGTGATGCACAAATATGCTAACTTTTATGAAGATGTTGTTCATTTATCCATGGTTAAGCTCAATCTTATGGAAGACGTTGCAAATAAACCAAACAAAGATTGTTTATAATCCAGAAACTTTTATGCACAACTTTGTGATTTGATTGTGTTTCGGAACCTTGTGGTTTGGACGGAGAGAGTTCACATATTGCAAAAAGAACCCAAGTGTGATCTAGTAAAATGGATACTAATGAACAATTATGGCTTTTGCAAACAACATTTGACTCTTCTGATTGTCAAAATGATAATTACTCAATGTGCATGTTCATGTTAGTACCTTTGTTTTGATGATGATTTACTAACAATCCCTAACATCATCTGTCTGTCTAGTGCTTGTGTTTGCTCTTAGATATTCTAGAAAAACATCGATATTGGAGGTTGGTTGGAATTGAGCTTAACGATGACATTTAAAGGAGGTTGGCGGATATCAGAATGAAGCTATGCACAATTTGTTGGATTTTTTGGTCAAAACTGCTTTCCAAAAATAAGTTTTTAAACTATATGTATATATATTAACTACAAGCACTTTTCATAATTGCTTAGTAGCCTAGTAAAAAGTTAATGTTTTGGTGTTTTAAAAGGTCCTCTGTTCGAGGCTCGCCAACGACAAGCCGATAAGTGTTTTATTTTAATTAATCTCTCATAAGTTATAGTGGGTCGCTAGGATTGGCTTCGTGGGCTGTGGGCTGTGAGCCAATGGGCCGGGGATCGGGGCTAATCGGGCTGAGGCGTTAAGTGGCGCTTTGTTAGGCACACTTTGTACTTTACACGGAGGTATCGAGACTCGGCGATGCCCTTTGTCTGCCACTATGGTCACTACGAAGGTTGCCTCGCAGGCTGCTTCGCAGCATATGGACGAGCTATACATTCGCACGAGGGTGTGACCCTAATGTTCTCGAAATCTGACGAGGTTCCCTCGTCAAATAAGGTTCGTCTGTTTGACGAGGTTCGCTAGTCAAACGAGGTTCGTCTGTTTGACGAGGTTCGCCTGTTTACCGAGGTTCACTCATCAAATGAGGTTCGCCCATTTGACGAGGTTCGCTTGTTAAACGAGGTTCGTCTATTTGATGAGGTTCACTCGTCAAACGAGGTTCGCTTGTTTGACGAGATTCGTTCGTTCGATAAGGTTTGCCTGTTCGACGAGGTTCACCAGTTCGATGAGGTTCGTCCTATAGACGATGTTCCTCCTACAGACAATGTTCGTCTGATTTGCTGAGATGTGACCCTCGCATTTTGTAGTAACGTATCCATTGATTGCCTTGTATTCGGGAGTTACTGCATGCAGCAGTTACAATAGTATTTAGACCAATTTAATGCATTAATGTTATAATCATAATTACCATTATGAATTGTAACAGTCACATTAATTGAGGGTGACTCTTGAGCTGGTCTTAGAGGCCTATAAATAG